TGAAAATTCAGGATCTCTCCGTGTTGGACTATGTCGGCCAGAGACCTACGGCAAGTGTGAACGTTGCTTCAAAGGGCATGGATTCCCCGAGGGCTGGCTCCTGGAGCCGGCGGAGGTACCCTGCAGGAAGACTCTGACTCAGATTTGGACTCAGGCTCCGACACGGACAACTCCGTGGACACCCAGTCGGAGACGGAGATCGTGATCCCTGGTGCCGGCCCTGGCGGCCGGGGAACAGGGCTGAATCGTACATACAGTCAGCCCTCAGCACAGACTGGCATCCTTCGGAAATGGCGAGTGTGCCAGACTGTCCTTTGGAAATGGCGCAATCAGTCTGCGCACCGGTTAGTTTCCACGGAGGACCACCCAACCTGGAACTCATGAAAGGGAAGATGAGTCCCTGGCACCAACACAATGCTTGGATAAAAGAGTTATCGCCTGCTTGTGTTGTGCCGTTTGGTCAGCTTGCATACACTTGTTTAATGTTGGAACATGTGGAAACATGTACTGTGTAGGCAATGCTTGGCCAACATGGCGTATATGCCATTTTGGCTCAAGCATTGCCTTGCGTTTGTTGAACCCTCTGTAGTTTAAAACCCACCCACCCACACCAAGGTAAGGTTCATGGCGGCTGGGCGCCAAAGGTGAACTTGGCTACATCCCGGCCAAGCACATAGTGAGCGCTCTTCCAGAAGAAGGGGAACGCCCTGCGAACACACACAAGAAGGTCACTGTTGATGGGTGGGAGCGGGAAGATGAAGAAGAAGTGAGGTCCCACCCTACCTCAAGGAGGCAGCTGGAGAGGCTGCACATGACCTTCCGTACCACACTGCTGATGTGCACGGCGGCGTTGCCCCAGTTCGGCAATCTGAAGGTCACCAAAGAAGAGCTGGACGAGTGGTATGCATGGTTCTATGGGGAGGACATCGCGGGCAGAAAGCCAGCCCCGAGTGATACCACTTTGCTCTGCTTGGCGCAAGATCCACAAGATGGTGCACCAAGGGACCAATCTCTCGGATGCCCTCAAGAGCATCAAGGGTGACTTCCTCTTCTGGCAACGGGAGGTCTATGAGCACCTCAACCGGGCGCCTCAGAAAGGCAAGAACAAAGGCAAGACTCCCACAGTGTGGCAGACTCAGTGGGAGAAGTCCGAGGGCAAGGGAGGAAAAGGCAAGACTCCCGACGGCTCCTCCCCACAATGGCCGGACCACTGGGCCTGGAAGAATCCCAAAGGGGTGGCGTACTCACCACCTCCATGGTCGGTGCCAAGGATCTTGTGGACGGTCCCACAACTGCCCGGTTCGGAAGAATGGCTGGGTGGGTGTGTGATGCCCCCCCCCGTCCAAGCACGTGCCTCAGTGCCCGCATCTCCAGAAGTGACGCTGCTTGGTGCCTCCGGGAACCACAGGCCACCAGTGCTGGACAGCACGCAGCAGATGCAGGGCAGGCCCGCATTCTCCAGGCTGCCTCCAGCCCGAAGCCCCCACACAGACAAGTGGGAGTGGGTCCACTCCAAAAGGACGGAAGCATCCTTTTCAGGTGGGGGGGGTACTTCTCTAGGGTGCCTCCGGCCCCAGAAGCAGACGAGTGGGAATGGATCCGGCCAGGGCACTCCAGAAGGATGGAAGAAGGGTTCGTCCGCCCCAGGCTTCTTGATGTCTACCGCCCAGATGTACTCCGAGATCGCCGGGTTGTAGGCGTGGATGTAGGCGTCCAGAGCCCCAGCGTCCTCCTTGCCCGCATACAGCAGAATGAAGACCGGCTTGGCAGAGTCCTGTACCGGATGTTGGCGCCAGCTTAGTCGCGACCTTAGTCTCTGCGGAACCTCATTCATCCAAGGGAAAGTGGGGTTGGCCTCCTCAGGGTTTCTGGAGCCAACGGCGCCGTCTTCTCGATCTCCCCAGCATGGGGTTGATCCTCCCGGATGACTGCTTACGCTCTGGTGCTGGTCCTCTTTGCGGCTGCCTTGTCACTTGTGTTGGGCCCCACTGAGTGTCCTGCTTCACGATGTGCTCGATGGCCAAGGCGGGCAAGGTGGCGTTTGTGGGCGGCGGCCCCAACTGCCGCATGGAGCATCCTCAAGTTCCCGAAGCCGGGGAGGCCCCTGCCAGTGAGAGGTCGGTCGGAACAGACCCTCTGGGGCCTGCCTGGAGCCCCAGGTGATGGAGGACACGGACAGTGTGCTCATGCTTAGGCAGATGTACCTCACGTCCCTGGCCTACCAGGGACTGGGTGGGAGGACCATCCCACAAATGGGCTCATCATTCTTGGAATGCAGCATAACCCGAGCTCACGAGGGCCTACATCGGGTGGGCCAACTCGATCCACCACTCTCTCATCAAATTCGACGAGCGCCGCCTCGGCCAAGTTGTGGTGAAGGCCACGGCCCTTTCTACTGATCTACCACTTCATCACTGGCATGGCCTTCGATGTAATCATGAAGAACACCCTAGACGGGAGAAACTCAACTCCAGCGATCTCAGTCGTTACCCGCAAGAGATGATGCAGGGACTGGCGGCGGCGATCGTGTGAGGCCTCTCCTTCCAGCGCCAGTCTGTGAGGTGGAAGGCGGGCAAACAGGCGGAGGATGACAAGGTCATGCTGGGCGGGGACACGTTCGAAGTTACACCGGGCCAAGCACTACCCCTGCATCAATAGACACAGCAATGCAAGAAGGATCGTGGACAGACCCACGATACTGCCCATCACACATGACCCAAGTCTATCCGATCCGGTCATGTACCTGCAGATGGCCTTCAAACAACGCCCCCTCAGGGACGCAGACTGGCTCCGTGGACGAGGCCCTTGTCACAGGCAGCATTGATGGGCGCCAAGATTTGCATCCTTACGGCCTCCTGGGGAGAGAGACTTCAGGAGTCACTTTCAGTGGGAGAAGGGTCACACCCCTTCCTACAGGATCTGCTGAGTGGCATTTGGGAGGGTGGGCAGGCGGAGGGCCAGTTCAACCTGGACGTCCTGCACAGCCTGGCAGCTGACATTCAGGACCCGAACTTCCAATTTTTTGTGGAGCTTTGTTTTCTTGGGTGTCACAGACCCACCATTGGTGTCTCCGGGCATCTGGCCGCCCACTTTGAAGAGCTCATCCGAAGCACCTTTCTTTGTGGAAGAGGTTCCCATGGGCATGGTGGAAGGCCCCATGTCCAAGGAGATGGCTGCGGAGCGCTGCGATTGTAGCCCTGGAGATCTGTGCCCAGTCCCCTGCTCGGCATCGATGAGGGAGACAAGGTCCGCACCATCTATGATGGATCGGTGGGGGGGGCCAATGACATTATCCGGAACCAGATGGAGCGCACCCGCACAGTGTTGGATGGAGTCCAAGCTCTCCATTGGCTTCACGCGGCAGCAGAAGAGGGCCCCATCCCAGGGTGCCTCCGGCCCGGGCACGAGCCTCAGCCACGGGGGTGGCAGTGGCCGGAGCCTGGCACCCGGTGGATGTTCCTCAAGGCGCACGTCACCAACGCCCACAGCAGAGTGAAGGTTTTCTGCAAGGACTGGCGTTTCCAGGTTGCCTCCCTGGGCGATGAGTGGTGGGTGAACAAGGTTGGTACCTACGTCTTGTACTCGCTCTTCCCTCAAGTGGACTGGAACTTCGTGTTTGTGGATGACTTCCTATGGCTGCTACGGCAATTGCATTCCGCCCTGTCGCTTTGTCGCTTTGTCGCTTGGAATGCCACCGGCCGCAGGCCGCGGGGGGACGACCCGCACCGCCGGCCGAAGCTGATCCTCAAGGAGGGTGCAGCGGCAAAGGGGCCGTAAACTTGGCGGCGGCAGTGCTGGCTACGCTGTTGGCACTTGGCACACCGCTAAGTTGGAAGAAGACGCACCTGGCAAAGTGGTTAGGCTTTGTGGTCCATCCCAACCTCCCACAGGTTCTCATGGCAGCCAACAAACACATCCTGGTGATGGAGGTCCTGCAGTTGAAGGCCAGGCGATGCACGCAAAGGAGATCGAGAAGGCCTTGGGTCGCATCCAGTGGGCGACTTCGGCCTGTCCTCTGGCTAAGTCCATGCTCCAACCGCTCTGGGCGTGGAAGATGGCTACCACCACGGTGGGGAAGCCACCCAAGGTGGTGAGGATGCTGGCCTTCATGCTGCGCCTCCTCTTCAACACGCCCTTCGTTCAGTACCCCCATATCTGCCAAAGTCGTCCTGGTGGGGGTGCAGTGATGCGAGCGCCTCAGTGGGGGGATGGTGCTCCAACCAGAGGGAACCGGACAAGTCAGCAGTCTTCTGGTTCCACGAGCAGATCCACCAGGAAGAGTACCCAGGATGGGAGCGGCGAATTGCGGCACTGGAGATGCTAGGCACGCTCTTCCTCTGCAACATGATCCTCACGCATCAGGGCCCCTTGGACTCCCGGTAGGCAGTGACAACCAGGGCAACGTGATGGCAATGCTCAACCTTGGATCCAAGAAGTGGTACTCCTGCTACACAGGCACGGATGCTCTCTGGCAGTCAATCATGTGCCTCGTGAATTCAATATGTGGGCGGACGAACTAACCCACCCTGATTTTGCAGGATTTGATCAGTCGCACAGTGTCTCCTAAATGGAGATACGTTTGACCTTAGCGCGGACCCACCCAAGCTCCCGTGACCGGAGCCGGTGGGTGACTCACTTCCCTTAGGTGGCCCTGAGGCCTGGGTGCCTCCGGCCCCGGCCGACGGGGGGCGCAATCAGTCTGCACACCTGTCCAGGATTTTTGCAGTGGGTGGCACGGAGGACCACCCAACCTGGAACTCATGAAAGGGAAGATGAGTCCCTGGCACCAACACAATGCTTGGATAAAAGAGTTATCGCCTGCTTGCGTTGTGCCGTTTGGTCAGCTTGCATACACACTCAGAAGTCTTTGGCAGGGAAAGGCCTTCCGGCATCCTGTCAGGTCATCTGCTTTCCACACGCACACAAAGACACCATCACCAACGACAGAATTTGTCCTGTCCGCCCCAATGGCAGTGACGTAGTATGGCTCATATGCCCAGGCACGACGCTGCCTCAGAAGGAGGAGTGCAGGAGTGCAGAAGGGGCAGCAGGGGCGACATGGCTGACTGGTGACCACGGAACCTGCACTAACTGTCTTAGGGATGTGTCAAAACGAGTTGAATCCCCAACTTTCGTGACCGCTGGTTCATGTCGCGCCTCCAATCGAGTCAGCCAGAAACCAGAGGATAGCAAGGCTCCAAGCGCGTAGCATACGACGCACAGAGTTACCAGGGGTATGTTTTAGTCTGCCTTACCGTTTTTGGTGCGCTCTCGCAAGTTCGAGTGACTCCTCATGAGCTTTAAGGAGAAGACCAATTTTACCATGTTGTTTCATTTGGTGAAACTCCCGTCTGAAATTGGTGAAACCCATGGCACGGGCCGCATTGACTGCAAACTGCACAGGATGCGCGGATGCCTTGCATTTCGGAGTGCGTCCAATGCCCCAAAAAAGGCCCCAGCCGCGCTGCTCTTCCATTTCCCTGGAGGCTTCGGAGCATGTCTTCAGGGTGGTTAGCTTGCCTGAACTGGCGAATCATCCAGGGGTCCTCTAAATGGTTGGTCTCACGGTCTGCTTTCAACAGCAACCAGCAGGTGCGGCGGCTCCCTCATGCGACTGCTTTGTTGCTAAGCCTTATTCCCTCAGCCAGGCTGTAGACAAGCAAAAGGCTGCTTCGTTTCCCCACTAGCAGGGCAAGATACCTAGCATTTTCTCCCACTGCGCGCGCTTTCCACACACGCCCGCTCAGCACTGCACCCGTGCCTGGCCAATGGTCAGCACACCCGCCCACGTGCACCCGCTCAGCACTGTATCCATGCCTGGCAAATGGTCAGCACACCCGCCCACGTGCACCCGCTCAGTATTGTATTCATGTCCATGCCTGACCCGCTCAGCATTGGGCCAATACCCAGCAAATGGTAAGCCCCCCCCCCTCACGCGCACCCGCTCAGCACTGCACTGCACCCATGCCTGGCATTTTGGGCCCTGCAGCTAGGCGTGGCCGGGGCACTCCTCAACCACCAGCCCGCGCTTTATTGCTAAACCACGCACGGTCCTCAGAAGCAGAATCGTGATTTGGGATCAACCAGGCACGTACCTGAGCGGTAAAAACATGTGCAGGTTGACCCCCCGCAAAAGCATTCTTTTTTTGGGGAGGGGCTTTTCAGAGAGATTCTTTGGGGGGCCGCTCGCATTTTTTCGAATGGGTCAAAGGGTCAACAGGGGAAGCACCCAGAGCTTGCCAACTCCGAAGCTCTCAGGAGGGCGACTGCGTCATTTTCCGCCTCCTGCAGCCCATACGGGGCTTCGCGTGGGGAGTCGGCCGGGGCCTTAAGGGACTGGGCTCAAGAAGCTTTGCACTGAGGTTCTTGGATGTCCTACCAAAGTTATCTCCATGGTTACTGGGGTAGCTGGGGTGATCCTCCTCTTAGGTATAGCCTACTTAAGTTGGTTCAACATCCAAGCTTGGATCCAAATGGCAACTTACCGCGATGTTCCACCAACATCAGGCAAGTAGGTTATTCCCTCAAGCTAGGCCTCCCCAATTTAACATGCAGCACACTGCACGCTTTCCGGTTCCTAATTTTAGCTTTTGCTAAGCTTAGATGCGTGCTTCGCTTGTGTTTCTGCTGCAACCGTCTCAGGCCGGGTGATTGCTGTGCAGGTGAACTACAGCAGGCGACGATGGGTTTGGTTGGCCTTGGGGGCTTGTGCATGTGTTTTGTGTTTCGGCTGTGGCTGGTGGGTTTAGGGTATGCATTTGTTCGAGCATGAAACAAGCAAACCCAGCATGTTGGTATAGATAAGTTGCTCTGTGAAAGGGGTGTGAGAGAAAGGCAGGCATTGGCCCATTGCTCCCATGTGCTGGGGGCCTGCCAGAACCGCCCTGTCCTCAGGCCGCAGCAAAATTAAGTTGTGGGCTGCGAGTCGTGCAGCAAATGATCAACTTGCCATGTACAGTGCTATCTTATCAAGGGGTGTGTGCTCATTTTAGAACGCGGGAACAATCACATGAAGGGGAGTTGTGCCGAAACGATGGTCCCTGGGAGGAGGGATGTCCAGTCAATCTACATATCTACATAATATATATATATATACATACACAATATGTGCACATCCCTCTATACAAATACAATTATAGATAGATTCACATGTATATATGCAGACCTTGTATGTATAAGTTCGTGTTTGTATACATGTATACACATTTGCATACATATATACATACATACATACATGCATGCATGCATACATACATACATACATACATATGGCCATGCCTGCATACATACCTACCCTACCTACCTACCTACCTACCTACCTACCTACCTACCTACCTACCTGCATACATACATACATACATACATACATACATACATACATACATACATACATACATACATACATACATACATACATACATACATACATACATACATACATACATACATACATACATACATACATACATACATACATACATACATACATACATACATACATACATACATACATACATACATACATACATACATACATACATACATGCATGCATGCATGCATGCATGCATACATACATACACATGTGCATACACAGATACATACATACATCCATACATACATACATACATACATACGTACATACATGCATACTTGCATACATGCATACATGCCTACATGTATGCATGCATGCATGCAGACACAAACACATGCATGCATGCCCACAGACAGACAGACAGACATACAAACAGGCAGGCAGACAGACAGACAGACAGACAGACAGACATCCTACATGCATGCATGCATGCACGCATTGATTTAGAGAGGGATGTTTGTGTGTGTGTGTGTGTGCGTGAGTGTGTGAGTGTGTGAGTGTGTGAGTGTGTGAGTGTGTGTGTGTGTGTGTGTCTGTGTGTGTGTGTGTCTGTGTGTGTGTGTGTGCTTGTGCGTGTGTGTTTATGTCCATATGCATCAGTATCACCCACATGTGTATTTATGTATATATATATATGTATTCACGGTCACGACGTTTGAATATAGTGACCGGCTCAGGGAGTGTAACACGTTTGTTTGAAATCGTATTTTTCGAGTCTTTGGCCGCACCACCCTCTCCGCCCCTGGAAGGTCTCTTCAGTCTTCTAGCTCCTCGCTCCCAGCCCACCCAGCCTTGCAGCCTCCTCCCAAAAACACAGCGCAGTCTCCACGCCCTCCAGCCCTTCCTTCAGCCCTCGTCCAGCTCTGCAGCTTGCCCCCCCCCCCCCGCCCGAATTCGGATGTTTGAGTGGGCGAGCCGAGCGAAGCACACCTTTCAAGAAATAACGCACAGTGCCTCTTCAAATAGGATGTTTAGATTTGGCTAGCCGTCCTTGGCCTATGTAAGTGTCCGGATGTTGAAGTCCGGTTGTTTAACTGGCGACGCTATATATATATATACATATATTATAGTATACATATACATATACCTATACATATTTCCCAACACTCGTGTATATTATGCATGTGTTTCGTAACATCGAACGAACAGGTTCTGGGCATATCAGCAACCACGTGTTTCATTTGCCTTTTTAATCCAAAGTTGCGGTGCTGCCATCCCTAGGAGCGGGCCCAACGGTCTTCTCCACCTGCAGCCACTGCGGCAGATTGGGCCCACCTTATTGGAGGAGGACCTGGATGCGGCGCCCTGGAAGCAGCCAAAAAGCTCTCAGCTCAGAAACCCAGTGCAAACCTCGAAATCCCTGGGTGGTGTACTGCATTTGCTTTGTGCTTTTTGCTGGGCACTGACAGAACTATGCCGGGGACCTGATTTAGTGTAGACGTGGCAGCTGTGGGGCTAAATCAAAGCGTGATAAACCATGGTTGGCATGCAGTTTGGATGTGGAAACATGTTTCCAAAATGTGGGTGCTTATTTTGAGTCTCTTGTTGGGAAGCCAACAAACGAATACCAATGCGTCACGCCTCGCCAAAAAACAACTTCACATTTAACCCGACGCACCAAACCTCGTTCTTTCAATTCCCAGAGATTGAATTCCCTCGAACAATTCGGGTCACCCTTGGGTTTATGTGTGTCCCGAGGGGTGCAAAAAAACATCTGTGTGGTTGATGTGTTTGTTTCTTGGTGGTGGCGGGCGGGGGCGGCGGGTGGGAGGGTGATGGAAGTATCAGTACCAGGACCAGTGCAGTCCTGTTTAAAATGCCTTATCGCGAGAGCCGCTTCTGGCCCCTGCCCCTACGTGTGTATCCGGGCGCTCCAACGTAGCTTGTGCCTTGCTTACCCAGCAATTGAAACAGGGGTAGGGACAAAGGATGGAATTCCCAACCCTTTTTCTGGCCCTTGCCACTTCAAGTTTTCTGCTGAAGTGCTGGCCTGCTTGGCTAGAGTTTGTTTCTGGTTGGAAAATGCTACCCCGCTGTTTAAAAACAATCAAGACAGCTTTCCGCTCACAGTGGGTCTTCCAAGCTTGGCTTGTCGGTCTCAACATGTTGAACAGACTTAGGGAAGCTAACTGACTCTCACTTCCTGAGTTTCCGGACTTGATACTTTTTCGTGAAGACCATTTCAATTGCACTCAACAAGTCCTCTGATGTTTGGCTAATTCACTCGATCGGACGTGAGTTCATGTTTGGTTTTTGGTAGGCCCTTGGATGTTCAACCAACTTAGTTTCACCATGGTTACAACTTGGGCAAGTGGGGTGATCGTCCCCTTATCATGGTTATTTTCTACTTGCAGCGGTTGCTTCCTCATTCTGTTCCAAACATCTTTATGTTTAACAACCCGCCGTTTGCCCTGGGTTTCCGGAGGTTTGCTAAAAGGATCCCTGGAAAGAAAGGTACCAGTAGAAAGATGACATACTTGCCTGGCGTTTGTAGTTGCTAGACGGTTTCTGGGTTCAATGGCAAAGGCCAGTTTGAAACCTGGTTATCACCTTCTTGCAAAGTTGGTACCCCTAGAAAGTCAGTACAACCATAGTTGTAACTTGGGTAACTGGGGTGATCGTCGCCTTAACTCTAAACATGGTTCTCACCTGAGCACAATCCAAACCCGGGTAAATGGAAGTTAGTTTAGCTAGTCCCAGCCATAAATGGGTGCCTTCGACTTCTTAGTTCCTTACATGGGTGTGGGTCAAAATTAAGCCTAACAGGGGACCGCAGATTTTGGACCATGTTTCTTTCCACTTACAGGACTCCATTTTGGGTACCTATTTTTGACCCACAGCCACATGGTACAGAGATTATGATTATCGAGATTCAAAATACATATCTATATCAATATCCAATCAATATAATTATAAACAAATACCCCCATCAATCGAATAAATCACTAAAAAATAATTAAATCAATTCAAATTAAAAAACAAATAAATATCAAAAACCAAGACAATTTAAATAAACAAAAACAAAAAACAAATAATCGAAATATATATATATATATATTTTAAAAAACAACATATAAAATGATCACGATCGGTTTTGTGACTCGCCTAGCTTGCCAACGACGTTGCTCGAAAAAGCTCTGCGAAATCATGGGCACAGCTTGGGTAACTGGGCTGATCGTCCCCTTACAAGCATGTCCTCGTGCCACGCTATTGGTGGCCCCTTTCAGCCTATTGCAAATTCTCCAGTTTTCGGCCAAAATGGACGGCCCTGCAAACATAATTGTCACCTTACCTGTCGTTGGTTCAAAAAAACAAACAAACGCCGAAACGACATGGTTATCCACCTGAAGCTTTCCCATTCTTTCCAGGGATCCTTCTTTTCAGGGAACCATCAAAAGCCCAGGGGAAACATTTCTGGTTTTTAAAAAGGAACGTTATTTCAAACGAACGCCTCGCCATTTGGAAAAGAACAAAAAACAACTCCGCCAGCGGAAACGGCGAGCCGCGCCAGGACGTCGCCATCACCCGGGCCACGGACCGGCTGGAGCTCCTCGCCGTGGAACTGCTGGCCGACGGCCGCGTGCAGCTGCCGGAGCTGGGCCGCGCCCACGTGCGGGCGGCGCCTGGGCAGCCAGGGCGAGGGAGAGAGGCCCAGCTTCGTTTGGGGGTGGCGCAAAATTGAACAGGAGGGGTTTGTCAGAACCAACGTGATCCCATTTTGGTTGGGGGTTTGCAGGTTTTGGTCCAAATTTCCACTTACCAGGGCATCCCATTTTGGGAAAGGTGTTTTGAGCCACAGCAAATTAAACCACCATGGGACCACAGGTTTAATCCATGTTTCCATTTACCAGGGTTCCCATGTTGAGTACATTTTTTTGACCCACTGCCATTTGGGTGTGGCTCAAATTCAAAGAGCTAGGGTCACTCAGGTTTTAGTATTGAGCTCCATGTACCAAGGTGCAATTCTGATATACGTGTTTGAGCCACAGCCATTTGGGCGTGTCCGCTTTGTAGGGGACGGTCCCCTAAATAGTGGTGTTCCTTTTAGGTTGTTTAAATGGTGGTTTCCTGTCATGTAGTCTTTTTGCTAGCCCTGCCCTTGGGACAAGTTTACCTTCGCCTGAAGAAGAAGACAAGCTTACCTTGGAGTTAACAGGAAAGCCGCTGGAAGGCCTGAGTGGGCTGAGACGCAGCTTGGGGACTCTTTTTGGACACCCCCCCCCAACCTACTATTGAAAAAAGCAAGGGTCCCCACTCACATGCAAAAGGGGACAACGGAGCCAGAAATGGAATTCCGCCAAGGTACCGTACCCCCTTCCCAATCCACGCTCAAGTCTGTGTCTTCCCAAGTTTCGGGATGAGTAATACTTTTTGGGAAGGCCATTTGGAGTTGTCAACAAGTCTGGACTGGTAGAAGTGAACATGGCAATCAAACCATGGAATTCCAGAATGACCCCGTCTCCGCAGTTCTGTGGTTAAGTCTGCGCGTTTGCCTGGGCAGTGGGCAAACTTTGCTTTGTATTTGGGAAGCAGCCTGCGTGCTTCCATGTTTGTCCGGAGGCTACCTACTCTGCTTTTAGAGAATTTGTTTGTGTGGGTGTTTCTGCGCCCATTTTGAGGTTGGTTTAAAGGGAAACAACAAGGAACACAATTTGTTGGGTCCCTCGGTTTTGAAAGCTTCCTGTTTTTTTCACTAGGCTTTGGGTGGAGACTTGTGGGGCAACCCCCCGAGAACGGCCCCTCCCGCTCCAGAGCTTCAATCGAACGAGTCTCGCATGGCCTAAAGGCTTCCAACCTGGGGATTTTGCGCGTCCGGCGGGGGCCTTGCTTCGCTTGCCATTATTTTACCTGTTTCTTGTGGTTATCAGAGTCAGTAAATGTGGTTTCCCTTTTCTCCACCACTTCGGGGGTGACTTTGATCATGTCAAAATAATGGGGCCTGTTCGGTTGGCGAATTACGACAATTCCAGACCGGTTAGCTTCTACACTAGCACTGAGTTCTCACGATATCTTTCTCGCGGCAAATGCATGACCAGGGCAGGTTGTTTAAAAGTTGAAGTTTGACTTGCGCACTTCTGGGTTTTGAGCAGACAACTGTTCTGCAACCGAAACACGGTGTTTTGCTCAATTCTCTTGGCGCAGGCAACAGATACTCTCGGGAATGTTCAACACTCACGGGCGAACCTTCCAAGAGGGTGGTGCCCTGTGTTTACTCCGAAAGTGAGTTGGTCAATGGCACAAAAGTTTTGATTCCCTCGAGTTTTTGCGTTTCAGTCCTCTTATCGACAAGCTGGGAAAGTCATGAATAGAACCCTTTTGGTGGGTGTACGTCGGGAACCGCCAGAAATTGGACATATTCTTAGCACAAGCAAATGTGTGTTTGTGGTGTGTGTGTGTGTGTGCGGAGTGACAGAATGCCCTGTCACCACTATTAGTAGCAGGGGGCTGGAGCCGGCCCGGGGGGTCTCCAGCCAACGAAGACGCCCCCCGGTGCCCGGCGCCTGGGCCATTGTCATGGCAGCTGGCGGGCCTGTACTCGAACGATGAGAAACTCATCAGTTGTACTCGAGACTCATCAGTTGTACTCGAGACTCAT